ATTCCTCAAAAACCGTCTGAGGATCATTATAAACCGAAACGTGCTCGAACGCAGAAAAGTTTTTACTAAGTAAGTTCGAAATGTTCCGCACTAAACAAATGGACTTTTCTTCAAACAATATTGGAATAACCCACTCTTTAGTTCAACTTGCTTCTAAGTAGATACATTTTTAATTCCAAACAAACGGCTAATCGAAAATTCCTCAGAAACCGCCTGAGGATGACTGCAAATCGAAACGTACTCGAATGCAGAAAAGTTTATGCGAAATAAGTTCGAAATTTTCCGCACTAAACAAATGGACTTTACTTCAAAGAATGCTGGCAAAAGACAGTCTTTAGTTCAACTTGTCTTGTTTCTAAGTAAATAAATGTTTAATTCCAAGCAAATGGCTAATGGCAAATTACTCAGAAACCGACTGAGGATGACTAGAAATCGAAACGTGCTCGATTTTAAAACTTTTTCTACACAACGCGTCCAAAAAACCGAAACTTTTTAGATAAAAATCAGCATATTTTTGAAAAAGTTACTCACCACAAGTGCGAATTGCTCGTTCTCCATCAGGTAGTACTTCATCATATGAGAGTGGTCCTTCACGAAATATAAAGTCTTGTTACGCAGCAGTAAGTACTTCTTTGGCCATTTGGATTTCTTAATTTTTTCAGACCATCGTCGGAGTTCATCGATTCTGCAATCAGGCATGGTCTCCTTTACATAGACGGTACTGCAGTAGATCGGATTCGCTTTATCCCCTTTAGGTATCTCTGGCTCTGGATCATCCATCAATTACCAATCAATATTACATAGAAAGTCGGTAAGTTTCAACCGCTGATTTTACCTGGAGCTGAGTCATCCCTGTCCAAAAGGGTTTTAGAAGCATCGCGCGCTGAACGTTCTTCAGAGTCACTACTGGTCGAACGGCCCAGAGAACGAAAGTATTTCAGAACCTAAGAAACGGAAGAACGCATTAATGGATAAAAAGTTTCGGCCAATAGAGCAATACCTTTTTTTTCCTGGAATCTTTACGCGCAGTGTGAAATATGCCCGTTGAGTGTTGGAAAAATTCATGTCGAACCTGGATTAAATCTGGATCAACGTTCGAAGAGGTGGCAAACTTCTCCCTGGCCTTTTCCGGTGTGATAAAGTACAGCTAGAAATCGAACGATTAATGCAATACACAACTCAAGCGGTTACTCTGGTGGAGAGAGCACTACTCCCTTCCCCATATTTTGCACAAACCGACATGCCTACACTTGCTTAACAACAGTTAAAACTTTCACATGCAATTCTTTGAGATTTGCCACCAAATAGAGAAATGTGAAACTTGAAAACACTTACTTTTCTGTGCCGGGTATAGTCGAACTTTTCCTCATTTTTCTGAAACACATATCTGAATGATTGTTTGGAGGCCACATGCTCCCACTCGTTGATATACATCGACTCGCAGTCATCAAGATAACGATCTGAGCAAAAACAAGTTTAAATATTAAGGTCTTAATGCGACGATTTTTTTAGGGATTTTGTCGATTTTTGCCAACTGTCTCAGTTTGGATGGTACAGTTTCCATTCCGTGCCGACTGATAGGTT